CATACAGTATGTGACACTGTAAGTGTTGCACGGCCAGATACGGCTCAGCTGACTCAGATAAGGAAATATATGATAAATTATGATGTGATATGAATGATAATAGGACACATCGACGTCTGCACTCAGAGTGCCGCAGACTGTACCTAATGTTTCTTTGATCCAGTTACTTATGTTGTGGCAGATATTTAAGTGAGCTTTCTTAACGCTAATGTTATATTAGTCAGATTGCTCTGAAGATGGGAGGTGATATTTTATTGATTCATATCTCAGTCAGTTGATTTTTGCCGGCCATCTTTCCTGCAACGGCAATTTAAACTGTATTTCCTTTATCCTGTAATATGACTTGATAGCTTTAAACTCCGCACACTGAGCTCTGATTGGTCAGCAGGCGGGGCTTTCACTGAGTTGATCTCTTAGCCTGGAACCTAACCTGTTCCGGTTAGCTGCTCAGCATAAGTTACCATGGAGATCTAGCTCGGTAAGAAGAGAACCAGCGGCGTAGGACCGGAAACCCAGTTTACCCTGAAGTTAGTTCGCCAAGCAAAAATCCGGCTTCGTAGTACAGGCCTCTGGGCCCTGACAGTGTAAATGTGTGAGTATCCTGCTGTGTGTACCTGTCCTATCCTATGGGCACGGTCCATGGCCTGCAGGTCCCTCATGGGGTTCCAGTCATGCTCCACAAACACCACCGTGTCTGCACCCGTCAGGTTCAGACCCAGACCCCCAACATGGGTGGTCAGCAGCAGCACGTCGATGGAGGGGTCATTGTTGAACCTGAGATCAGAGAGAGGAGGGTCAGAGTGAAGAAAGGGCAACGTGGTGGAAATTCACCTTCACAATTCAGTTTATGTAGCCCAGCCCCATCCCCAGTTGAATAAAAAAGTGTTAATCCTTCTGGTTTAGCACTAGCAGCATTGTGGAACATTTTATTTGGGATCCTTCACAGCACACTGCGCCTATAGAGTGGTTTTACAGAACCAAAGCCATCCTCTGTTAGTGACTGACAGGATGACATTTGAAAATGTCCAAAAATCGTATTCTTGTTGAGATAAAACAGTTAACCTAAAGACAATTTCAATGAATTTCTAAGTGTGCTATTTAGCAAGTGAGTATTAGCCATCTAGCTAACTAGCAAATGTAAGTTATCGATCAAACAGGCTGGCTTATGGACATGAGCTATCTATCAAACTAGCTAGCTAATCATAGTGATCTACTTTACAAGCTAGCTGACGCTCAATATATATTCAACTAGTTAGCTACCTATCTGAAAAGCTAGCTGTTGAATTTGAGCTTTCTAGTTAGCTATAGCTAAATTGGTAGCTCTTATAATTTGATTTATGAATGAATACCCTCTGGTTAGACTTGCAGTGTGGCCCTGTGTCTGCCGTTTGGGAAGTGAGAGTAACTATAAATACATTGTTGACGTGTGCTGGTTTTAAGCTGACTGCGAGCAGATTTTGCAGCTCCGTAGATCTCCGTAAACTCCCAAATATGTGTTATTTCTATAAACTAAATTCTAAGTTTCTCATCTTAAATGTATAATGGCCTAACAGCAGTTCATTCTAAAGCTTTAAAGCAGGTAAATAACGGGCGCTGACCTGGAGACGATGGAGTGGCGCTGGCCGGCCGGCACGCTGCCGTCCAGCCTCAGGTACGTGACGGAGGGCAGTTTGGGTTTCAGCAGGTCGTTCTCCACGATGTCCAGCATGCTCTTGAGCTGACAGAAGATAAGCACTCGATGCTGGGCCACCACCGCCTCAGTGCCCCCCTCCGATCCTCCACCCCCTCCGAGGCCACAGTCCAACAGCAGCTGGAGAACACAAAACACCCACCTTATTAGTTTATGGAAGCATCTGGAGGATTCTTGACATCCTCCTAGATC